CTGCAGCTCCTCTGAGGGTGGGCATCCCACAGCTCCTGCAGGACGTGGGACCTGGCTGAGGGAAGGCCTGCTGTTCCATTCCCACCTGGCTGGGGCTGGAAGGAGCTGGTGTCTGCTTGGATCCCTGGGAGCACGGGGTGGCAGAGAGCCCACATTCCCCCTCTGACACCGTGTTGGCCACTCCTGGTTCCCCCCTCAGGCAGGAGCAGCTGCATCCCCAGCACTGCTGGGTGGGATGGGAATGATCCTCTCCCCTTCTGGCACAGGGAATCCCTTGCTTTTGCTCCGTACCTTGGTGTGAGGCAGGGCTGGGATGGTGCCAAAGCAGTCCCAAACATTTTCCATTCTCATCTGGGAGAGATGAGGAGCTGATAGGCCATGGAAACTCCTGTGGTGTGACAGCCCTGCAGCAACCTGGCATCTCCACGGAGATGGGATGGGGCTTCCAGCTAAAACTGAGCTCATCCTTTCCATGGCTTTTCCCTGTGCTCCGAGTGGAACTCAGGGCAGCTCCTGCCAGCTCCCCTTGCTCTGCACACGCTGATCTCTCCTGCCCCAGCTGGGAGCAGCCGGTGGAAAGAGTTTGTGCAGATAAGGATCAGCAGGTTCAGAGCAGATCCTGAGGTGTGACTGTCCCTGAAATCTCCTCCCACGCTCGGCTCATCTTGGGGCTGATCTCGAGCTTTTTGTGAGGGTGGGGAGAGGGGTAGGAGGAAGGAGAGGTGGGGAGATAATTTTAGGAGTGCAGAAAAGGAAGTGGTTTGTTGCTATAGCTTTAGTTAGAAAGAGAGCTCAGCCCTGCCTGCTCAATGAGACCAAGTCTATACAAAATATATACAAAGTCTATACAAAATATGAGTGTGCTCCGCTGTTCCTGAAAGGATTTTGGCTCGGGGGGTGTGGTGGGAAGAGGTAGGAGGGACCATGCCCAGGTTCTTATCCTCTGCTGTGCCATGGAAATTGCTGTTCCTGAAAAAAGAGACCAGGGACCACGACTTGCAATTTTTATTCCCATTTTCTCCCAGCAATGCCTTTGGAAGTGCTTTGGGTATCCAGTGCCTGGGAAGGAGCACTGGATGAATTTTAACATCTGGGGAAACTGAGGCACAGAGGTGCTGGCAGAACTAGGAGCTCTTGTTTTCCAAGCTGGATGTTTCCCTCTACATTTGCTGTAGCTCATGGAAAAGAGTGGAAAAGAACCACCCCCGCAGAGAGGCAGGAGCTGAAGTCAGAGCTGGACCCTGTGCTTTTCCAAGGAATAGCAGCACCCCAAAGGCTGTCCTTGGCCTGGTGCCGCCAGGAAGGGGGGACTTGGGTTCCTGCAATGCCAGAGCACAATTCCAAACCCTCTGTGCAGTGTAACATTTTCCCTCACCTCATTTGAAAACCCCCTTTGAGCTGAGAAGAACATCCCTTGGCCCAGGCACTTCTGTGGGATCAATAAGTGGGAGGCCTGATTTTGTATTTATATTTGCACTGATTCACTTGAGAGACTTTAAATGTGGAGAGGAAAATCCAGGATCACTCAGAAATCCTTGGGCTGGGGCTCTGCTTGCTCTCTCCAAAGGCTGCTGAACAATATTCAGTCCTTGTACAACCACATCCCCTTTGCCATCGGGAATGGGCTCTGGGCAGGTGATCTCTGCAGGCAGGTGACTCCAGAGGTGTCCTCTGACCCTTTCCAAGCTCTCTGGCCCGTCAGCACCTTCAGCTTTCTGTGCCAAGGGTGGGTGCAGAGCAGAGCTGGGTAGCTGTGAGAGCAGCAAGAGCGAGTGAGGATGTGTTGTGTCACAAACTGGAGGAGAAGTGGGCACTCTCAAACTCTGTGCTGATGCATTTCTGCCAAAAAATGCCACTCAGGCTGCCCAGAACTGCTGGAGGCTGTCTTGGGCTGGCTAAGCAAGGAGTGGGGGACTCAGGCAGAGCTTTTGCTGCTTTCTTTGCTTTGCTCTGCACTCCTTTTACTTTACTGGGGGAGGAAGTGCTGTCTCGCAGCTCCAGCGGAGGAACTCGGTGTCTGGGCTCTGGCTGTGGCTCTGGGGAGGAGGTGGAGCCTCCAAACGAGCAGAGCAGGGGATTGACAGCCCAGGGCCCCCAAACAAGACCCTCATGTTCCATTTCCCCCTCAGTGGATTCCTTGAGCCCACACCCAGCACCCAAAGGCACCCTGTGGGGCTGGGCCATCACATCTCCAGGGCTTTCTGGGGGTTGAGAACTCAACAATATTTGTCAGGTTTTGTTGCCAGGGCCCTGTTTTCGTGGTGGTGGCCTAGGGAGGTGGCCCAGTGCCCTGTCACAGCACATCTCTGATGGTATCTGCCCCGGGAGGCGCAGCCTGGGCTGAGAAGGTGCATTTTGGCGGAAGCTCCGTCGGGGTTTGGTGTGTTCTTGGGGTTTGATGTGTTCCTGGGGTCTGATGTGTTCTTGGGGTTTGATGTGTTCTTCACCAGCTCCGAGAGCTTCTCAAAGCTGCCTTATCTGCCCCCACATCTTGACCTAGTTTGACAAGTTGCCATGGTTGCTCAGATAGAGGTTGATGCAATTTTCTTATCTTTCCTTTGAAGGAGAAATGTGATTGCTCTGGAGTTGGTGAAGTTCCGTTTCCATGGCTGCAGGGAGGGCCAGCCCTGGACACCTGGGTCTGGAGCCAAAGCTTGGCCAGCTTGAGTCTCACTCACAGGAGCAGCTGGAGCTGTGTCAGGGCAGGGTCAGGTTGAATCTCAGGCAAAGGTTCTTCCTCCAGAGGCTGGTTGGGCACTGCCCAGGCTCCCCAGGGCTGTGGGCACAGCCCCAAGGCTGCCAGAGCTCCAGGAGGGTTTGGACAATGCTCTGAGGGACAGGATGGGATTGTTGGGGTGTCTGCAGGGCCAGGAGTTGAACTTGGATGATCCTTGTGGGTGCCTCCTAGCTCAGGAGATTCTGTCGTTCTCCATCAAGGCAGATTTGGGGGGGTTGCCAGCAGACAGAGGGCACCTGGTACATTCAGGCAAGCCAGGGGTCAGGGGGTCTGTTGGCTGCTAAACCTCACCTTGGCTCAGCTGAGCTGAGCTCAGTCTAAGCTGCCTCGCTGAGCAGCAGAGCAGTGTTGGGGTGGGTGGGTGGTGTTGGGGTGGGTGGGTGCTGGTGCTCAGCTCATGCTGGGACATGGCAGAGACCCCTCTGTCCCTGAGCCCAGCTGGGCTAAGCCAGGCTCAGCTCTGGGGCTGTGCCATGGTTGGATCCTGCACTGTGCTGCTCCTGGTGACTCCCGTGGCCACCAGCAGCTGTGTGGGACCTGCTGCCACATGGACAAACCCAGCTGGTGTGTGTCAGGGTGAGCAGCCTGTGCCTGAGGCAGTGGGGTGGGACTGACCCCCTGGGCTCTGACCTTCCAGCCCTGCATTTGCTGCTGCTCTGCTGCCTCTCTCCTGCTGGCCCAGGGGAGGCTCAGCTTTGTGATGGCCACGGAGCTCTGAGCTGGTTTGGGTTCTGTGGAGCAGCTGTGTGGGTTGGAGCCGAGCTGTGGGGTTTGTTTGCTCTGTGTGTGCAGGACCCGAGCGCGGCCGGGGCTTTCCACAGCCCTCATGTCTGAGCTGCCACAGCCCCAGAGCTCAGCTGGGCTGAGCTGCTGCTGCACCTCACTGAGCAGGCTCTGCAGGGCCCCTCCCTCGAGTGCAGGGAGAAAGGCAGGAAAGAGGGATGGGAAAGGTGGAGTCAGCCAGACCTTGATCCCACATCTGTGAGGCTGAAGGTGGTGCTGGCCTTGCCTGGTGGGGAAGCTGCTGATGCCTTTAAAGCCACTCTCAGCACCAAAAGAGTTAATGCCCCTTGAGTGTGTCTGTCAGACTGTTATTATCCTGTTATCATCCTGCCCTTAGGAGGCAGTGGAGGGAGCAGCCCCTTCTGAGAGATGTTATCTCCCCTGAGCACCCAGAGGCTTCTCTCCACCAAACCTTCCTGCCCAGGCCAGATCCCAGCCTGGTCCTCGCCCTCAGCATTCACAGGGCCGTGTCCATGGGGCCCACATTTGCTGCCAAACCCCTGTGCCCGGAGTTGTGTGTGGTGCAAAGGCTCTGAGCAGCCTGTGTTTCTGGGTGATGTTATCAGTGACCCTGCAGTGAAAGCACAGCTGCTGTTTTGCAAGAAAGTCGAGTTGGTGCCAAAGAAAGCGGGTCTCTGTCAGGACACTTTGTGTGCTGCTTCCCCTCCCCTTGTTGCTGTGCTGCTGCTCTGAAGCTCCCACGAGCCAGTTCCCCCACGTGCTGTGGTGATCAGCATCCAGAATTCCATCAGCAGCCCCTCTCCCACCATGCCCCACTGATCCCTCTGTCCTTGGCATCCAGAGCCTGGGCAGCAGCATTCCTAGAAACATCAGCATCCTTCCTGCTCTGCCTGTGTAGGCACCTGCCCTTGGGGCAGGGGGATCTGGAGGTGCAGGAAGCCACCCCAGCAGCCAGAATCACAGAATCAATGAGGCTGGAAAAGACCTCTGAGATCATCAAGTCCAACCTGTGACCCAACACCACCTTACCCAGCCCATGGCACTGATGCCACATCCAGTGTCTTCTTAAACACCTCCAGGGATGGGGACTCCACCCCCTCCCTGGGCAGCCCATTCCAGTGTCTGATCACTCTCTCTATAAAGAACTTCTTACCAATATCCAACCTAAACCTCCCCTGGCACAGCTGAAGACCCAACCCTCTTGTCCTACTGCTGCTTCCTGGGAGCAAAGCCTGACCCCCACCTGGCTTCCCCTTCCTGTCAGGGAGCTGGAGAGAGTGAGAAGGTCTCCCCTGAGCCTCTTCTCCAGGCTGAATCCCCCCAGCTCCCTCAGCCTCTCCTCCCAGGCCCTGTGCTCCAGTCCCTTCCCCAGCACAGCAGCCCCTCTGACCCCGTGCAGAGCAGGGGGTGGTGTGACCTTGCTCCTCTGGGTCATCCCTGTGACCTCAGGGGTGACCAGCAGCAGCTCCTGCTGCTTTCTGCCTCTGGGGCCCTTCTCCCCTCCCCAGGGTGTGGAGCTTGAAGGTGGGACTGGTTCAGTGGCTGCTGCTCCACCTGCCAGACGTGCAAACAAAGCCGGCCCCACGCGCCGCTGCCCAAGCGTGGAGGGGCTGAACTCCCCCAAGCTGCTGCAGCCCTGGGCTGGGGGGGGACAGTGGCTCTGGCTCTGGCTCTGGTTGGGGTTGCCCAGCGGCTCAGGGCCTGCAGGGCCACCCTCAGGGGGGATGGGAAGCTCATGAAACCCCCTTGAGCTTTGCCAGATGCCTCTGGAGCTCAGAGGAAGGTTGGATGATGCTTTCAGGCACGTGGTGGGATTGTTGGGGTTGTCCTGTGTGGGGCCAGGAGTTGATCTCTTCTAACTTGGGAGGTTCTGTGACCAGTCCTCCCAACATCATCTTCCTCAGAGCAGAGGAGGTGCCTCAGGAAAGCAGCTCTTGCTCAGAGTTGCCCACCTGACTCTTGTCCTGACTATAATCACGGCCAAAAGCAAGTTGCTCCCCAAGGAAGGTGCTTTCTGGGTCCTTCCCTGCTTCTTTTTGCACCTGTTTTTTGGAGATGCCTCCACCTGAGCTCCACCACTGCCCTCCCAGCACTTCCCAGTGTGTGACTCCTGCCCCAGTCCTGGCAGGAGCTGCGGAGGAGGCGGCTGGGCCCGGTCTGACGAGTGATGGGGACCAGCTTTGCTGTGCCCCAACACTTTGGGGGAATTGGGGACCAGGGTGCCATGGAGGGGGGCTGGGGCAGGGTGAGTGAGGTGACACTCACGTGAGAGAGGTGAAGGCTGTTTTGGAGACGTTGCCACGAGCACTTGTTTTGTTGGGTTGGAACCACAAACCGCAGAGCCCCAGCAGAGGTGCAGCGCTGAGGGGGGGTTTCAGGTGGTTTTTTTTTCTCTTCTTTTCTTGTTTGAAAGAAGGAAAACAAAACAGAGGCCGTTGAGAGGGGTGGTGTGTGAAACTGTCTCAAGAGAGTGGGGATGACTTGTTTGGGGCTGTGCCCTCCCTGGTTTGGCACCATCCGCCCCAGCCGGGTGGTGCCACCAGCACCACACCAGTTTAATTTCCCAGTGCTTGGGAATGGGGTGGGGGAACCTCCAAACCTGAGCAAGGAATGGTGTGGCCCCACACCCTTAGGCCTGGGTGCCCTCAGGGGCTGGTGCTGCCGGAGCTCCGGCTGTTCCCGCTGGAGGAGCCGCCTGTGCTCCGGCTCCAGAGGAATATTTTCCCCCTGACGCCGGAGAATTCCTGTGGTGTGACACTCCCTGCTCAAGGACCCTGTTCAGTGCCACCAGGGCCAGACAGGGCCCCCATTGTGGCCCCTCTGGTGGGTGCTATTCTGAGCAGCCCCGGGGTGCTGGAGGTCACCCCCCACCCTCTGATCCCCCCTTGTCCTTTGTGCAGCAGGGGCTGCCCCCGTTCCCCAGCCAGGGCTGGGGTTGCTCTGGGAATCTCCTGGAAGTGCATGGGGCATAGAAGTTGCTTTGTGTCCCTCTACTCCATGCTTGGAGCTGCATCCAAACCCAGGCTGCAGGAACACCCCAGTGGGGGTGGTTTTGGAGATAACCAATGGGTCCTGGGGTGGGTTACACCCACTGAGCTGTGCCAGCCTGGAACAGTCTGTGTCTGCTTGTGGCATGGAGTGATCCCAACCAGGCATCCCAAGGGGGATTTCCAGCCCTGGATGGGGGTGAGAGGAAGGGGTGAAGCAGAAGGGATGGAAAATGGGCGCTGCTCCCAGCTCCTGGGGTGCACATAAAGCCTGGCAGCTTTGGAGATGTGACATCCAGGAGTGGCATTGCTGCACCAGCCAAGGGTTAGCTTGAAATCCTGTGGGAAAAGAGGAGATTTCCAAGGATCTCCCAGCTCCTTGCTAGTCTGCAGAGTAAGTGAAAGGAGCCCATTTCTGCAGATCTCCCTCCCAGCACTAACTGCAGCTGCACCAGATGGTGTCTGGACTTCCAGAACTCTTTCCCTGTTCCATTTACCTTCCTGCCCTCCTGGTTTTGGGCACACAGGCTCAGGCATGTGCCAGGGTTTGGCTCCTGCCACCCTGTGCCCGGCTGACATCTCAAGGTGCCCTGGCTGGCACATCTGCAGGGCCCCTCTGCCCTCCCCTGGGGCAAGGAGGGTGTGTGTTTACAGGAGCTGGGACATGCCTGGAGCCCTGCAGTAAACACATTCTTCACATAATTGCTTGTCCAACACAGAGGAATTTGGGGTTTTACGTGTCCCACAGGCAGCTCAGAATAGACCTTGGGAATCCCTGTTCCAAGGATGACACTGCTTCCTTTGGAAATCCCACAGTACCCAGCAGAGGGTGGCAGGAGCCCTGCTTTGCTTGCTGGAGAGAGGGCAAGAATTCCTGGGTTTCCCCCGGGGAAAGATCTCCCTGCCAGCTGGAAGCCAAGCAAGAACTGCACTGGCCACTTGGCTCGGGGGCAGTGCCACTGGAGCCTCCAAAGGCTCCTGCAGAGCCAGGATGGCCCAGGGGAGTTGTGGGGGCACTTCCTTACCCCAGAACCTGGTCTCTGGGGGATGGGCTTCCATCCAGCTTATTTTGGGGAGGGAATCAACAAAAAATCCTTGTCCTTTGGTTGGGCAGGAGAGAGACAGATCTGAGGGGATGGACCCGGTCTCGCTTCAGCCTTGACTCCTTGGGCACGTCTCTGTTACCCTGATTTGGGGCTTGGAGGCTCCCTGGCTCTGTGCAGGGAACTGATGTCAATTCATATGGGCCAAGACAAACCATCCCCTTGGGAATTCACCTGATGTTCCCCATGGAACACCTCAGGTGGCCAGAAAAACCTTTTTCCCCATGTTTTCGCTGGGTTTATTTCTCTGCTGTAAATAGGCCCGAGCTTTGAGATGTGGTGGCATTTCAGGCCAGGCTTTTGGCTCTTCCCTTTGGGATGAGAGGCAAAGGCATCATTTGAATTTCCTCCCTCATTTTGGCTGGGATAACCCAACTCCATCCCTACTGGAGTCACTGTCTTGGCCAGCTCCTGCCGGGAGCGACTGGCTGGAGCCTTTCCCGCCGAGTCTCTTCCCACTTCCAGGCAGAAATGACACTGGGAGCTCCCTGCTTTGTCCTGCCCGTGACTCTGATAACCCCCAGGGCTTGGCAGGGAACCCAGTGCCTCCAAAACCCAGGAGCAGTTCCCCAGGGATGACAGGAGGGAAGCAATGTGGGAAGGGCTGGATGGGACCCACGATTCCCCTGTCCTGGAGCCAGCTCCCTCATTTCCTCCTCCCAGCAGCTTGGCTGCTTTTGAGTCATTCCAAACTCTTCCCTCCTTGGGTTATCCCACAGCCACAGCTCTGACAGCTCCCATTGTCATTCCTGGAAACAGGCTGGGCTCCCTCCCTTTTTCTGAGCCCCTGGCTCGTTTATTCCCCGCTTGAAGCTTCTGCTCGTCGCTGTCAGCACTGGGTTCATCCCGGCCTAATCCAGCCTGTGCAACTCCTTCTGGGATAAATCATTTCATCCATCGTCTGGCTCTGTTATTGTTATTATTAGGGATATGTCCTAGACTGGGTTTCAAACCTGGCAGGATCTCTCCCAAAACACGTTGCCCAGGGCTAAGTGCAATATTTTGGGCGTGGCCGCGTTTGGAAGTTGCTCATCAAAGAGATTTTGGCTCCAGGGCTTCTCCTCTACCTTGGGTTGGGACACGAGCCCAAGGAGGAGATAAATGTTGTGAAACCTCTTCATGAATCCAACCAAGACCAGGCTGGGGAGCACTGGGGGGCTCTGGGACCCTGAGGCAAATTCTCTTGGCCAAAATTAGCAATCAGAGGAAAAATGGAAAACGTGATGTTATCAGGAGAGGGGGAATGTCCGTGGCATGAGATGCTGTCCATCATAATCCGGCTGGATTAGGGGAACCAGCAGCCACAGGGAGGTTTCCTATGATTTCCTAAGATTTGCCATGGGGAAGTCCACCCACAGGCCCAAGGAAGAGATAAGTATTGTGAAACCTTTCCCTGAATCCAGCCAAGACCAGGCTGGGGAGCACTGGAGGGCACTGGAGGGCACTGGGACCCCAAAGCAAATTCCTATTGGTCAAAATTAGCGATGATTTTGGAAACGTGGAGCCCACAGTGTTGTCAGGAGAGGTGGAATGTCCATGGCACGGGATGCTGTCCATCCCCTCCTGTCTCTCCAGCTGGATCAGGGGAAGCAGCAGCCCCGGGGAGGTTTCCCCTGGATTTGCTGAGCTCTGCCCTGGGGAGCTCCAGCAGGGCTGAGCTGGGGAGCTCTGTGTGTGCCGTCCCCCCTCGGAGCCGGCCTCGCCCATTCCTGCAGCAACACGCCCTGGGAAGAGGCCAAATAATTGTCATACCTGGGTCCCCCCTTATCTTGGGAAGGTCGGGAAGCAGGAGTGTGCTGGAGTTCACCTCATGGCCAGCAGCTCTTTGGCATGGAGAGCACTGGGTGCTCCTGTGCCAAGACAATGACTCCTCGCTCTTCCCCTGCCAGAAAAATAATCCTATTTATGTAACTCGAAGTGAAGCATTCCAGGGCATGAATATTCAGCTCTTCCTGCAAATAGGAAGCTCTGTTACCTGCAGGATTGAACTCCCCAGCTGTCAGCTCAGCCCACATCTTGCCCTGTGGCTGCTGATGCTGGTTTTGACAGCAGGAGGTTTTCTTTTCTTCCAGTGAACACCATTTGCATGGGATTTTTTCCCCCATCCGGGATAGAAGGAGCTGTGCTTTTCCTGGTATTAATGTCCCATTAAATGTCTCCTTTGTCTTTGTAGGCAGTGGACCCATCCAACTGTGGCAATTCCTGCTGGAACTGCTCACTGACAAGTCCTGTCAGTCCTTCATCAGCTGGACGGGCGATGGCTGGGAATTCAAACTCTCCGACCCAGACGAGGTAGAGTTCCCTGGAATGAAGTGCACAACCCAAATTCCTCAGAGATATTGGTGTGGATAACCCACTCCTCCTTTCTCTGGGGCTGGGATTTGTGCAGTCATGTTCTTCTGGCCTTGGGTATGTGGGGAAACCAACTGAAACCTGGTTAAAAATGGGGCAGCAGTGACACCTTGGGAGCAGTGATTTGTGCCCAGAGTTGGTGGGAAGGAGCTGAAACAGCACAGGGAGAGGAGCAGTGGCAAAGCTCTTCAGATAGGCCATGGACAGGTGAGAGGGGGGGACTGTCCACTGGTTTTGGGGAACACATGGGATATTTGTTGCCTTCCCTGGCTGAGGTTGGAGCCAGATGGAGGTTGGTCTCTTCTCCCAAGTACAAGAGACTGGACAAGAGGAAATGGCCTCAAGTTGCACCAGGGCAGGTTTAGGTTGGATATTGGGAAAATTTCTTCACATTTCTTCACAGAAAGGGTTGTCCAGCCCTGGCATGGCTGCCCAGGGCAGTGGTGGAGTCCCCATCCCTGGAGGGATTTAGAAGCCACGTGGATGTGGCACCTGGGACATGAGTTAGTTGTGGGATTGGCTGTGCTGGGAGAATGATTGGACTTGATCTTAGAGGGCTTTTCCAACTTAAATGATTCTGTGTATCCTCATGGAATCCCAGAATATGCTGAGTCAGGAGGGACCCACAAGGACCATCCAGTCCAACTCTCAGCCCTGCACAGGTCCAGCCCCAAGAGTCTGTGCCCCAGCCCCTGTGCCCCAAAGGATCATCCAAACCCTCCTGGAGCTCTGGCAGTGCCCAACCAGCCTCTGGGGGAAGAACCTTTTGCTGAGATCCAACCTGAGCCTGCCCTGACACAGCTCCAGCCATTCCCTGGGTGCTGTCCCTGGTCCCCCCAGAGCAGAGCTCAGTCCCTGCCCCTCCTCTGCCCCTGCCCAGGCAGTTGGAACTGCACTGAGGTCTCCCCTCAGTCTCCTCCTCTCCAGACTGAACCCTCTGCAGTGCCCTGGGTTGGTTGTTCCAAGCACTGATGCTCACGGCCCACCCGTGTCCATCTCAGCACCGACTTAAACGACGACACGGAAAATCCTCTCCCTCCCCTCGTACCCAGCTGAGAACTCCTCAACCGAGCCATGCTGACCTCTCCTCCCTTTCACCCCCTCTGCCAGGTGGCCAGGAGATGGGGCAAGAGGAAAAACAAGCCCAAGATGAACTACGAGAAGCTGAGCCGGGGGCTGCGTTACTACTACGACAAGAACATCATCCACAAGACGGCGGGGAAGCGCTACGTGTATCGCTTCGTGTGCGACCTGCAGAGCCTGCTGGGCTACACCCCCGAGGAGCTGCACGCCATGCTGGACGTCAAACCCGATGCTGACGAGTGAGGAGGACCCAGGGCCACCCCCTGTCCTCCCGGAGAGCCTTTGGGACTGTGTTGGTGCATTTTTTCCCCGCGTTTTTTGCCGTTCTTTTTGCCGTTCGTTACGTTGCGTTTTTTTCGGGAGCGACTCGGATTTGATGCTTTGAGGGGGTCGGGTGGAGGAAGAGGAAAACTTTTGGCCAAAGTTTGGGTCAGAGTTAGGATGGGCTTTGTGGTTGTTTCCTGCAAGCTCCAAGACAGGCTTTTTTTGGGGCGAAATTCTCTCCGTTCGTTGCGTTGTTTTTTTTTTTTCGAGAGCGACTCAGATTTGATGCTTTGAGGGTGTTGGGGGAGAGGGTGGAGGAAGAGCCAAATTTTGGCCAGTTTGGTTCAGAGAAGGATGGGCTTTATGGTTGTTTCCTGCAAGCTCCAAGACAGGCTTTTTTTGGGGCGAAATTCTCTCCGTTCGTTGCGTTGTTTTTTTTTTTCGAGAGCGACTCAGATTTGATGCTTTGAGGGTGTTGGGGGAGAGGGTGGAGGAAGAGCCAAATTTTGGCCAGTTTGGTTCAGAGAAGGATGGGCTTTATGGTTGTTTCCTGCAAGCTCCAAGACAGGCTGTTTTGGGGTGAAATTCTGAGTTTAAGAAAGCCAGAAAAATGTAGCTCATTTAAAAAAACCAACAACCCCCTCCCCACCCTTTGCTGTTTAGAAAAAATATGATGAAATGGATCCCTGTGGTTATTCACCCAAACTGACAGTTCAAGAAATGACAATATTCCCGAGGATTTCAGGATTTTCAAGTTTTTTTGGGGGGGTTGGGGAGGGGAAAAACCAACTGGGTGAATATTCCTGCTTCGGGGAGGGGCAATATAGGAAAAACACAAGAATTGTTGTTCTTGTTCCATCACTTTTCTGTCCATTGTCTTCTTTTCTACAAGAGACAGATTTTTTTTTTCCTAGGAGGGATCAAGACTCTTTTTTATTTTTTAATTTGTTAAAGTTTTATTTTACTAAATTTTGTGCCAGTATTTGGTTGTTTTTTATTTTATTTTTTTTAAATAGTCTTAAGCTCTAAGATGGTCTCAGTATTGCAATATTGTGTGTGTTTGTTTCTGTTATGCCAGCAGAGAATTTTATCACAGTGAGGAAAAGGAGAAAAAAAAAAAAAATTAGTTTATGTAGACCCCACTGGAGAATTGGAACGTTACAACTTGGATGTGAAGGAAAATTAACTCCAAACTGGCTCCTGGTGATGCTGGCTGGGTGTGCCACCCTCAGTTCCAGTTCCACACT